CACAGAGAGCACATTGGCCAAGCAATGGCCGTGACTCATCCACATGGCTGCACTGACAAAGGTTCTACAATCTGAGGTACAGGATCTCAGGATAATTCCTGAAGGCATTTCACTGACCTTCTGAGATCAAAAAGCTACAATTCTTGTTACAGAGTTCCTGCTTTACCTTGGTCTTAATCATCCAGTAGACAAGTATGATGACGATATATAGGAAGTAAAGTCACGCTGTTATGTTGAGCTGTGGGGGACTCAGGTCATTAATTTCTGACATTGCCAGTTAAACAGAAGACCCAATGCTATTATGGGCTACTGGACTCTTTTAGAATATTTTGCTGAGTTTACACACCTATAATATTCAATAACGGAACTTAGAAAAAATGTGGTATACAGATGAATGTCCATTTTGTATCTGTGTATTCAAAGTGGTTAGGATAGTTATATATTTGCATTCTCTTAATGAATGGAATGATTTTTTCTATTGGTGTTTGTCAATAGGATCTCAAGTCCGCATCTTGTACAGCAATTAATCACTAAGAAGAATATATGCAGTGGTATTTGTTGAATCTTTCCTAGTGATTTGATTAGAAACTGTCTCATTGGTATCTCTTTATCAATAAAATTTTGTAAAAAAAGAAATTTCATTAGAATTTAATGTAGAAACTGTTGAAAAATTTATAACTTAATTTCCCCAATTAGTTACACATTTTTTTTTCAGAACAGGGGATTGAATTCAGGCCCTTGCACTTGGCAGGGAAGCGCTTATTCCACTGAGCCATCTTCCCTGCCCCTACTTACACATTTAACTATTTGAATCAGAGACCCAATCATCTGTTGGTCTAGTTGGTGCAGTAACAGTTAGTGAAATTTATAAAAAGTTAAAATTAATAAAAAAACGCAAAAAGTTTTTTAAAAAAATTTTATTTAATTAGTGTATGTTTGTATGTTTGTATGTTTTCTGTACATGCAATTTTCAAACATACTGGGTAGAACTTCCACTTACACCCACAGTTTTTTGCTTTTCTACATCTTCTTTTCTGCCTCTCTCCCTCCATCCATCTCTAACTCTTTCATTCCTTTCATTGTTACTGTTTTTATATGAAGACTAACAAAACTCGCTAAGACTTTGCCAGACTCATTAAGGAAAAAGTAGAGACAGTTTCCTAACTGTCTATCAAAAAGTGATTATAGTAAAAGTCTTTCAAACAGTTAAGATCATAGGGGATTATCTAAATAAAATTATATGCCAAAAAGAAATATAGCCCTAAAACACTCAAGGAACGGATACAGAATTAGTCACATATTAGGCAGCACCCTGAATTTAAATGCAGCAGGAGTTCTAATGTGACCCATAATGCAGAAAAGCATATAACCACTTGTCATCAGTCTCATAGGAAAAGAAGTAAAGGAACAGGTGTGTTGCCAGACTCTGGTGCAACATAGAAATCATATTGTACTGAAAATAAAAATAATCCATAAATTTCCTACCTTCAAATGAAGAATGCCTGCAAAATAAAAGATCCAGTTCTAGAAAGCAAGACAAATATCAAATTCCAAGCGAATAACTTTTTAGATATTGCAGATATGCAGAAATAAATCATAGTGGATTACTAGACCTAAAAGGAATTACTGAATGAAAAGACAGACTGTTATTAAAAATCTCAAAAATTAGGGCACTTGTCTGAGCTAACTTAATTAGCTCAGTTAATTAAGTTCCTGCTTAAGTAAAGCAGTCAGGCTCAGAACTCTGTGGTTCAACCCCCATATCCTTATTCCTTACCAGATCTGCCCATAAGGCATCCTGAGAGGACCAAAAAAAAAATCGAACATTATCAGCTCTAAGCAAATCTTTCTAAATGAAATCTTATTAAAAATAATATTGAAATATTTTATAATGAGACTAGCTCCATTTTAATTATAACAAGCGTGCAAGAATGTGGTTAATGTAAGACAAATGAACAATACTGGAGATATTAAACATGAAAGTATACTTTATATCAAAAGATGTCTTATGAATTTTTCGTTAATTAATAGTAGAAAATAAATCCATGGCGGCCAATGAAGTGGATTCTAACTCATGTGAGACTTTGGAATCCTTTAAAATCTAAATTTCAAAACAGAAGTAAAATATAATTATGCCTTCTAAAATTGTCCATGAGAAGTATTGATATTTCTAAACTCCTGGTAGTAAGACAAACTGTTGAAGCAGCCATTAAAAGAACTGAGCTAAGGGGCAGGCCCCCTAGACAAACTGCAGATGGAGCAAAACTATAAAACTACAGAAATATTAAAAATTACATGCTAAAATATGAAGAAGTATGTTAGGCTAGCAATGAATTTATAAACTGCTTTCCAGTACTTTCCACAATGAAGACACAGTGAGAATGCTATAGAGTGGGTTCTCCTGGATCTTACCCTAGTTAAGCATCAACAAAAGGCATTATTTTCATTCCTTTACTCATCTCTGTTGTGACAGTGGCGACTGTTCTGCCTGCCTGTCCTTGGGCTCCCAGGTATGCCTCTTCCTTGATGATTTATCACTCATGGATGCTGTTCATGCCATTACTGGTCTATCCAGCTTGAATCTACCTTGCTTCATCATCTTGATCCTAATAAGGAGCCAGAAGGTGCATGGTACCAGATCTAGGGAGTCAGGCTGAATAAGGACAGAGCAGTTGTTCTCTTTCAGGATTTCAAATACTTTAAGCACATCTTGACTTGAGTGCTAGTGTCGAGAAGGCTTTCCATTATAGGTGATCTATTTCTCTTCTCAAACATCTTTTAATGTTCTGTACTTGTGCTTTTCTTCTGGTTTTTTGATCACACTTCTGGATTTATAATAATAATTATTATTACTTTC